CCCCCCCCCCCCCCCCCCGTTTTCTTTTGTTGTACCTGTCTTTCATTTGCATTTTGAAGCATGCTATTATGACAGCGGTCATAAAAGTGTTATATTCCAGGACTTTTGCACAAATTACCTACGGGTATGGTCCTGACATAACAAATAAAACTGAAATGGATAGTAATTTGACTAAATTTTGCTAAAAATCATTTAACTGAATTATAAATAATAATACATTAATTAATAATAATAATTAATTTGGACCAATACTGCATTAATTTGTGACTAAACTAGAATCAACTGAATTTTTGTAAAAATGTCATCTGGATTATATTTGGATGACAATGAAATATGAATGATTTGTTTATTTTTCTTGGAATTAATAGAATAACAGGATGTCCTATACTGAATACCATACATTAATCTGAATGGCTCTGCTTTCGTATATAAACTGAATTAAATCGGTTTCAAATGTTATACCCCTGTAAAAGGGGAAAGGTGAAACAGACAGTGTTACTTCTGTCACATCCAGTGTTGTAATGGGTGAGCAGAAGCAACACATTTTAGTGTTAGTTTAGACATAACTAATAGAGACATGATCAGTAAATAAGACTCTCAAAACATAAACTTTGAAATTGTATCACTCTCTAAAGTGTATAAACAATTATATTCAGAAAAGTAACATTAAAGAAAATGCATTTAAGATGTATTAATATTCTACTTCATCATTCTGTGACCTTTGAACTGCAAGACCAGAAAAATTGATCATAGATATTTAGATCAGCAATCACAGTGCAGCTTATTCCCATGCATTTTTCTTCAATTGAGGAATGAATTATGGTGTTTTTTTCCATTTACATTTCCCAAATATTACCATGAACCAAATACAATTTTAGCCAAATAATACAAAACAATAGTATTTTTCTTAATGTCCCCCCCCCTTTTTTTTTTTAAACTGAAACAATTTTATAACCACTACACACACTTTTTCATTTACTGCATATTTAACTTGTTTACACACACGATGTAAAACAAAATAATTTTCGAACTGTTATAAAGCTCAAGGAAAAAAAAAACATCTGATCGTTGTTCGTGTGTTTTAAATCTTATGTTTTCATCATCTACTTCTGTTTTTGTTGGACTTCTCCAATTAGGTTAAGGGTTAACGCCAATCAAGTTTGACGAAGTTAAAAGTACGACTTCCGGTTATTTCTTTAAAAATAAAAGATCTTTCCTTTATGTAAGATTTTTGTGCTTTTATTTTATCGACAAGATAACTTGACTTCCGGTGCTGTTTTATGCTTTAGCCGCTAGCTTCGATGCAACTGGGGGTCAACAGCGAGCGAAGCTACAATTAACCAGGGTGCATAGCGCAACAAAATGAGAGCTGTCTGTTGATTTCGCTTTTTTTTTTTTACGGTTCCACGGACACGGGGACAGCACGCTGGACATTATTTTATCGTGTCATTTCCCCACTGTTGGGATCTTGTGGGCTAAACCAACAGCAGTCGGGCCTCCGCGTTGTGGCCCAGCAAGACTCGAGTGAAGTTGGAAGCGGACTGCCAAACTTCTGCTTTCTCCGGCGGCTCTCCGCAGGGCCCGGGGCTCCTGTCGCCGGCCCTGTGGATGAGGCAGTGAACCGAGACCCGCTCATCCCGCAGGTGAGTCGAGCTGGGTGACGGAAACGGCCTCGCTTCGTTCATTAATGGCGAGCAGCGAAGACGCGCTCTGATTAGCTCTGCGGCTAAAACTTCCCTTTAGCATCATTAGCTTGATAACTTCCCTGACCTGACAGCTAGCTGTCGACTCGTTGGACGTTCCTAACGCAGCTTTCCGGATCAGCTTTATAAAATATATACACAATACAACAAATTGTGTTTTTAAAATTGTATGTCAAGAAAGCAAATTACTTATTAAAGTGTATTTGGCCTTACTATGTAAAAAAAAAAAAAAAACTGGTTAGCAACAGTTGTTAGCTTCCGGGAGGGTTAATTATTAAAGCTGAGTTTAAAGGTAGATTAATATTATCTACTAACAAATTCCATAACCACAACAAAAATTAAGTGGTACTTGCAGTATTTATTAGCTGATACTTAATAAACTGTTATCATGCATTCGAGGTAATGCTTGTTTGTGCTTCTGCTTTCTGAACTGCCATGCAAAATGTAACATTTTAATTTGTTTTAAAACGTTAGCTTGCTTTTCAACTTTGCAACAGCTTTGCTTTCTTCTGCAGTGCTGATCCCACGTGTGATTGAAATGCAGTTGCAGAAAACTTTACACTATTTTCTAAAAAAAAAAAGTTAAATCTGGTCCTCTGGACGTTCAATAAAAACAAAACGACAAAATTGTAGAAACGCAACACAGAAACATGGGTGTGCTATGGGGTCTCCAGTTTCTCCTATTGTTGCCAACCTGTACATGGAGGAGGTAGAAAAGAGAGACTTGACGTCCTTTTCAGGGACACCACCAAGTCATTGGTTCAGGTATGTTGACGACACCTGGGTTAAAATCAAATCTCAGAAAGTCCAACATTTTACTGACCACATCAACTCTGTGGATAAATACATCAAGTTCACACGAGAAGATGTAAAAAAAATGGCAAGTTGGCTTTCTTGAACTGTGAGGTCCTCAGTCTCTGATAGAGGACATTTGCAAACCGAGGTGTACCGCAAACCCACCCACACAGACCAGTATTTGCAGTTTGACTCCCATCACCCTTTGGAGCACAAGTTA